ATTCAATCAGCTTGGCTCCTTTTATTTCCCCCCCTTACTATGCAACTTATATGGGACCATAGTATCCTTAATTTTCTACTCAAGAAGTTCCAGCTGGCTGCAACACTTTCACATGTAAAGGTTTCTTCTTGTGGCAACTTCTCTACTGTTTATTTTAGTTTATTAGAATTGGCCTTCTAAAAGCTATGATTGCAGTTGGCTGATCTGTTGACCAAGAGTCAAGAATTTAAGAATGCATGGCCACTTGCACCAAAATATCCATTATTTTAATATTTTCAATAAACCTATCCCTGATAGTAAAGACTAAATCCAAGGTAAAGACCCCTTAGTCTCTAAATAAAATTTTAAAAGAAAAAATATCAGCCACACAAGTCAAGAATTCATCTAATATCTTGAGTTTGGTAGAATTAGTCTTCTGAATTAGTCTTCCAACAGATGTCTAAGTAGTAGAGGTCTCCCATCACAATCATTTAATGCTTTTTTGAGAGTTCAGATATCTACTTTAATAAACTTTTGTTTACTTCTTCAGACTGGTTTTGTGGTCTGTAGCAAAGTCCTAGCAAGGATCCCTTCTATTACCTTGTCCTTTCATCTTAACCCAGATGCTTTTAACAGTTGTGTAACTATTGGTGGACCACTGTGCAGATACATTTATTCCTGATAATGTTAATTGGAGAGTATGCAAATATTAATTGCATATTTGGCACTGTTACTTGCATTCTATAGCCTTCTCAACTAGATCAGACAGGAAACACAATCAGAAGAGCTAATTCTACTTTATTATACAATTCCATTAACACAATCACGCAAATATGAAAGTACAAATCTTCCACTGTCTCTTTTTACAGCCTGCTAAATTAGGGATGATCCTTTCTGAGGTTTTTTTCTTGGCCTGCTATGCAACTGTGGGGTCCCCTCCCTTTTATCTGATTGATCCCTAAGCAGCATCTTGTCCCCATTTCCTGAGGTAGATTTCATATACCAGGGGTGTCAAACTCAATTTTACTGAGGGCTGCATCAGCATTGCGGTTGCCCTGGGGTGGGTGGGTGGGTGTGGCCAGAGTGGGTGCAGCTTACTGGGTGGGCGTGGATGGAGTGGGTGTGGCCTACTGGGTGGGCATGGCCAGTTCTACATCATTCGCATCAAGGTGCCTATGGGGGCCTGGGCAGGAGTGGGACAGATCTGAGGGTCTCTGGTAGAAGAGGGTGGGACCGGGGCAAGTGCCAAGGCATGGTCCACTGGGGCAAGTGCCAAGATCGCCACCACAAAATTGTACATTGGCTCCCAGCTGGCCTGGGCCAGGGCCAAGGCAGTGGGGGCCATTCCATCACTGTTTCCAGGATGGCTTCGTGGGCCACATGAAACCATTTCATGGGCCGCATCCAGCCCCTGGGCCTTGTGTTTGACATGTCTGTCATATACCATGACATATTCATCCAACTACTGAGATTGCTGGTTTGGCTTCAATCTATTCTGGATCTAAAATAAATATTTTAGGATACAAGTGTGCAGAGGAAATTTTGCTTGGTGTAAAAATAACCCTGATTATATCAGATATTAGGAAAAATCAGGTTCGGATAGGGCTGAAAGGACACCTCTCCATGTGAATATAGATTTTTAATACTAAGTTTTATTACTTCATGAATTGTATTCATGCACACAAGGGACTTTTTTTCTTCTTGTGAAATATGAGCTGCAAATATCTATACAGCATAATGAACATAATGTATAACAAGTATTATCATCCAAATTGTGGCTCACCCAACGATGAGTAAGTTAATAAAAAGATCACTTGAGTAATTTGTACAATATTTCCTATCCCAGTAATTAAGAAACAGTGGCATACTTAAAGCAGCCATTTGTCTTCCAGATTCTTTGTATAGGAGAATGAAATGAGTTTTAATTTCTGTTCTAGCTACACAGCTACTTTCCTAGGTAAGTGACATCTGAGTGACTACTATTTTGCGACAAAGTCAACAGGAGTGAAAGCTTTAGTTTAATTTATGACCTATCTTTAGGGTGGATGAAACAGCCATATCACATCACCTCCCCTTCAAACACATTATGGCTTAAAGTTGGTATGGAAAAAAATAAAAAGCTGCTTTGCACACATGAAATCTTCCAGAGGTGTTAAGAAGTTTTGACAGACTCTGTAGCATTTCATTCATTACAGAGCTGGTTCGTTCTGGGAAAGCAAGAAAGCTTAGGTGAATTGAATTCAATTAATTTTCTTCTTGGAGGAATACAACATGTGAGGGAGGGGGTGAGAGAGAGGTTAACTTGCCATATCCAACCCATTGCTCACTGCATGTTATGCAATGCATAGGTGGTCATCCAAGCATTGATGAAATTCTTCCATGCCCCACCTGACTTTAATTAAAAAGAAATAAAATGGGAAGTTGCAAAGTTGCATAGCTAAGCTTCAACCTTCAGCATCCAATTTATTTAAAAAAATACCTTGGGGGCCCTGGTACAGAGTCTTAGAAATAGTGGATAGTTATAAGCCATTGCTTTATTTGATATGCCCAACAGGAAGGAAGGAAGGAAGGAAGGAAGGAAGGAAGGAAGGAAGGAAGGAAGGAAGGAAGGAAGGATAAATTACAGTGTATATTTTACACTATACTCACTGAATAAATGGGGCATAGTATTCTTCCCTTAGTATGACTGTGGGGTCTGCATTCAATGATAGATCACATTGTGGCGGGCTATAAGCTGAGAATATATACTGGTCCAGTGTCTGATTTTTTTTTCATATAAATAATGCTGTGCTTCAATGGCTAGATGGCCTAGACATTGGTATCTGCATATAGATCTTTTTTAACATTCCTATTTTTAAATCTTGAGGAAATGTTAAATATATATTGCAAATCCATGTATGATATGCTATACACTAAACAAACAAACAATACTGATAGAAAATCTTTTAGGGAACTCAAGGACAGCTGGCAGTAGCTAATGACAATATCAGGTATTTTATCAATTGATGTCATGGCCTCCTCCAGGAAATAAGATAGAACAGACAGTGCTTCAGATTTCTCTGCCTTAGATAAGTCTTTTTCTATCATAGGAGCCAGATCAGAATCACCTCCCAATAATCTGGGACAACTTCCCAGATCTTATGATCTAGATCAGGCATGTCAAATTGCTGGCCCGTGGGCCGGACATGTCATGCCGAAACCACACCCACCCCATTGCCGGCAATATGTCATGCGATACCACATGACGTCGCGAGTTTGACATGCCTGATCTAGACATATTAACATAGCCACCACATGGATGTTAGGCTTGTGAAGGATAGAACTTGGGAGTAAAGGTATACAGGAGTTCAATAAACTGGCATGGATTTGCAACAAGATCGGGACTAATGAATGTCCCTTGAATTAAAGATGGGGAAAGTGCGGCCTATAGCTACCAGCTATGATCTTCAACGATCTGGAGAACCATTGGAATATTTTGTATCTAAATATTGCTACCTAGTAATCATCTAGATCTTGGTAATTGTACAACAGGGAGTCCTCAACTTACAATCACAACTGAGCCCATAATTTCTGTTGTTAAGTGAGACATTTTTGAAGTGAGTTTTGCTCCCTTTTGTGACTTTTCTTGCTGCATTTGTTAAATGAATCACCACAGTTGGTAAGTTAGTAACTCGGTTGTTAAGCGAATCTGACATCCCCATTGATTTTGCTTGTCAAAAGATTGCAAAAGGTGACCACGTGACCTTGGGACACAGCAACGGTCATAAGTATGAGTTAGTTGCCAAGCATCTGAATTCTGATCACATGATCAGGGGAATGCTACAAAGGTTGTAAGTGTGGAAAACGGTCATAAGTCACTGTTTTGGGGGCCGTTGTAACTTGTGAACAGTCACTAAATGAATTGTTGTAAACAGAGGATTACCTATACAGCCATCAGAAAATAGTACAGAAATCTTTATTATTGAGAACAGTTTATTACTTGTTACCAGAAGCAAGAAGGGCATCGTGAACATCTGATAGTGGTCCTTTGTAAAGCAACTCTACCACTGATTTTTTTTCTCCTTTGGTATAAAATCTTAGCCACAATTCAGTTTGTTGGCTTTTATTGTTGGCTAGAAAATTCTGGGTATTGAAACTACACATTTTAAAATTGCCAAAGTTGAGAAACACTGGTCTAGCCGAATGTACATTTTCTGCATGTTTCTCTGACTGTTAGTAACCTCTTTTGGAATTAGACTTTCAAGTATTTTTTTTTAATTTATTTGTTTAATTTTATACCTGTGCTTTTGCTTCTCCTAGGGTTTCATTCAGGACGACCTGAGATGCTTGCTTTCTCCATTTTGCAAGAACTCCTTATGTGGTGCTTTGAAAATTTTAAATATTCCTCTCAGCCAAAACCAGATATACACAACTGGATATTATTTACCATTGGGACACAGTACAATTTAGCAAAAGCCTTGCCTGCGCTTTCAGGGCAGGGGTAGGCAACCTTGGCTCTTTTATGACTCGTGGACTTCAACTCCCAGAATTCCTGAGCCGGCATGGCTCAGCTTGGAAACCTCTCCATTTCTCCCCAGTGTGGCTGGCTCAGGAATTCTGGGAGTTGAAGTCCACAAGTCATAAAAGAGCCAAGGTTGCCTACCCCTGATATAGGGTATTGGTTCTACTCCCATGTTTTAGATCCACAGTTTTCTAAAATCTATAAACTTGAGAGCAAAACTTTAATGTAGTTTAACTTAGCTTGATGCACTGAAGATGAGTTGAACTATACTTTCATTATGGTTAGAGATGAATAAAAGTCATTTGACATTTTCTAGGAACTAAAGACCGTCAGGGTAGACGCGTTTGCTGGATCACAAAATCATGCATGATTCTGAACAACTTTTCACACCTGCATGCACACACATACATACACACATGCACAGACACAGACATGACTGACCTTTGAGCATCCATTTACAAATATGTGCTAGAGAGCTTCTCTAAAAAAAGGAAAATTACATCACGGCATTTTGTTTTACCTGTGAGAATGATTCAGAGCAAGGTCAGGTTTTCTCATCTTCAAGTAGCAAATTACAAGCTTGGTTTCAATAAAACTGGCAATACTTGAAATATCTCTTGGAGAGGCTTCAAAGGGCTTCCCTACAGCTGCACCTTTGCTGCATAGCTTCAAAAAAAGAGAAAACAAGCAGAAACATGAAACAGAATGAAAACATCGACTTACTTCCAGTTTGATAATAAGTAAATTACATTCCAAGATGAAATGAAGTGTAGTATGATCTGGGTTTTGCATAGATACACATACTATGCTTGCTATAACCTTGAAAGAGAAATTAATATTGCTAACCTCATAGCAAGTAAGGAGGGAGTTAAAATTCAGAGTTTTGGGCTTACCTGTGGCCAAATTGATTTGATTTGATTTGTTTGCTGGATGGCTTGCAACGATTGAAAGCCAATAAAACATTGAATAATAAAAACTCATATGAAATATTAGCCACAATCCAGTTTGTTGCCTTTTTATTGCTGGCTAGGGTATTCTAGGTGTTGAAGCTACACATTTTAAAGTTGCCATGGTTGGGAAACACTGGTCTAGTCTAATGTACTGAATACTGTTCTGCATGTTTCTCCAACTGTTAGTAAGCTCTTTTGGAATTAGACTTTCAAGTATGGTAAGGTGACTAACTTTTTTACAATAAAAAGGAGGACACAAATAAATTAAAGAAAAAAATATCGTAAATAAAAGAAACATTTTATTCATTGCAACAATAATACAGACAACTTGCACGTGCAAAGTTTGTCAGCCGGGTGTTTTGGCGTGCTCAGCAGCAACTCCTATTGGCTTTCGAAAGCCAATAGTGGGAGTAGCACAGCTCATGCAAAAGTTGAAAAAAAACCATCAAAAAAAGGTGCCAGAACGCTGTTCTGAGCGTTCTATGAGGGAAAAAAAAGCCCTGCAGATTAGTCTTCAAATATCGAAAAGGAGGACATGTAGGAGGACACTTTTTGGGGGAGGACAGAACTCCCAAAAGGAGGACTGTCCTCCCTAAAGGAGGATGGTTGGTCACCTTAAGTATGGTTTCTTTTTTATTTGTTTAATTTTATACCTTTGCTTTTGCTTCTCCCAGGGTTTCATTCAGGACGGTCTAAGAGGCTTGCTTTTCCCATTTTGCAAGAATGCCTTATGTCAGGGATGTCAAACTCGTAATGTCACGTGACGTGTTGTGACGTATCATGACTTTTTTTCCAATACTGGCAATGGGGTGGGCACGGTTTAGACTGACAGGGTTCACAGCATGCCCCCTCTACCGGCACAATTAATTAATATGTTTGTAACAGTTTAGAGGCATGAAATTGATGGAATGTCAGGTTTGATTGCTCTGGGCTAATAGTTTAAGGTGTTTCAAGGATGTACTATTCTCATTTGTTACTGCCACTACCAATAGCAATAATCTTAATACTTAATACCTGAAAATAAGACTGGGTCTTATATTAATTTTTGCTCCAAAAGATGCATTAGGGCTTATTTTCCAAAATGATCTTATTTTCTGGGAAATACAGTACTAAATGCATCCCTCTGACTGATGATCTTAACTGGGGCTTATTTTTGGGATAGGACTTATGTTACGAGTATCCTGAAAAATCATGCTAGGGCTTATTTTCCGGTTGGATCTTATTTTCGGGGAAACACGATAATTCAACCTGCTATATTATTTAATTTGATGTAAAGCTTTATTTGAACTGCCACCCCCGTTGCTGCATCCTGGTAACCAATTCCTTTGTTGAATGTACATACTATTAAAAGATTTCTCCAACTGTTCTACCAATGGGGTATCTGAAGCCTATTTAAATCAGAGCTTGCCCTTTTCAATATGGCAGACTTTCAAATATTTGAAGGTTAGCTGCCTCCTCCTCCTCCTCCTCCTCCTTTTCCTTCTCCTTCTCCTTCTTTTTCTTCTTCTTCTTCTTTCTAAATATACTCAGCTCCTTCAATCTCTCCTCACAGGAAGGTTTGCCTTCCTTTTTTCCTTTTGATAGTGCTATCTTTGTTACATTTTTCTGCCTCTTTTATCATGAATCAGCATCTTTCTTTAATTCCAAAACCAGGCTGTCCCTGCCATTGGGCAGACTGGAGCAGTTTGTTATGAAGTAATATTTATTTATTTATATCCCACTTTGATTATTTTTACAAATAATGCAAGGTGGCGAACATATCCCACACACCTTCCTCCTTCTATTTTCCCCACAACACAACTCTATGAGGTGAGTTGGGCTCAGAGAGAGTGACTGGCACATGGTCACCCAGATGGCTTTCATGGTCAAGGTAGGACTTGAACTAAGACCACACTTGGAATATTGCATCCAGTTTTGGCCGCCATGATATAAAAAAGAGGTTGCGACTCCAGAAAGAGTGCATAGAAGAGCAGTAAAGATGATTAGGGGACTGCAGGGCTAAAACATATGAAGAACTGTTGCAGGAACTGAGTATGTCTAGTTTAATGAAAATAAGGACTAGGGTTGATATGATAGCAGTGTTCCAATATCTAAGGGGCTGGCACAAAGAAGAGGGGGTCAAGCTATTCTCCAAAGCATCAGAAGGCAGAATAAGAAGCAATGGATGGAAACTAATCAAGGAGAGAAGCAACCTAGAACTAAGGACAAATCTTCTGACAGTTAGAATAAATTAATCAGTGGAACAACTTGCCTTTAGAAGTTGTGAATGCTCCAACACTGGAAGTTTTTAAGAAGAGATTGGATAGCTACTTGTCTGGAATAATATAAGATTTTTTGCTTGAGCAGAGGGTTGGACTATAAGACCTACAAGATCCTTTGCAACTGTGTTGTTCTGTTATTCATAGTATCCTACTTTCTAGCCCCCTGCCTTAACCACTACACCAAAGTGGGCTAATATGGGCTCTTGTTAAATCTCTGTTCTTTTCTGCATCTGCTCTTAATAAATATGTTCTTTAAGGATACCGTTTGACTTGGAATTCTGTTTTTAATGGTCTCATCTATCGGAACCATGACACTGTTTGTGACACCAAATAAAGTCTGCATGGAAAAGTAGCAGAGAAGGTATTTGAAGGTGATATCTAGAAGGCTTTTGGAGACTTAGATATCTACACCCATAATCAGTTTCATAGGCTATGCATTCTCTTCTCTGATGTTCATGGTTAGAGCACGATTAAACACTATTCCTTGACTAAGATGTCCAAAGAGACTTCTTTGAACATATGATGGATGAACTGAACGGACCATTAGAAACATTTTCTTCCAGCGATAAGAGAAAGAACTTGATTTTCATATCCCACAGTCAAGGAAAAAAGGTGATTCCCCAAAGAAATATAAAAAACTCTGAACACCTTCCTCAATTTCTTACTCACACAGTTCTGAAGAGTTTTAGATTCACTTGAATCTAACCACCAAGAAAATTGTGGAAAATATTAAATGGAAAAAGTATGTTAAAAAGGAAATCATTTCTTCTCTTAATTCTTACTTTATGGCAGGGAATAATATGAGAAGTGGATTGCAGAATGCTTTAAGAATGCAATAGATTTATTTTTAGATTTCACCCGTATTCTTCTCCCATAAAATGCTATATAGAAGAATCATCCTATCATTGCATGCTTTAAAAGCATTCTGAAATTCAAATCCAAGGTTCTCTCCCTATTAATATGGAGCAATTCTGGTAGCATCATAAGAAGATAGCAATTTTCTCTCCATTTCATATCTTCTTCTTTTTTGGGGACCACAGTGGTTGCAACCTGCATCACTGGATTTCTGACATTTGGGCACCAAATGTTTTGGAGAAGTAAGTTTGGAGGGATATATTAAATAAGATAATGTATTAAAGAAAATAATTTATTTCCATTGAATGTCATTTTCCTCTCCGTGGCTTCTTTTGCTAACATTATCAATCATTATTAGTTAAATTGTTGACATACTTACCTCCAATTAATCACTACCTTTAGGCTAATTGTAAGAAAAGGATTTGGAACATTTGCTTTTGATAAAGAACAGTTTAAATCAGGTGTGGGAACATGGATGGGGAAAAAAACCACAATGTTATTTTCACTAATCTCTAATTTAAATTTAGTTTTTCATTCAATAATGAATGTAGCCAATCAAGTAATCTATGACTTCTAGACTAGAAAAAAAATATTTATTAACTTCAAGAAATCTCAGTTTTGTGGCAGTCTTAAGTAGTTGCCACAAAGAAGAAAGAGTCAACTATTTTCCAAAGCACCTGATGGCAAGACAAGAAACAATGGTTGGAAACTAACCAAAGAGAGAAGCACCCTAGAACTAAGGAGAAATTTCCTGACAGAACAATGAACCAGTAGAAAGATTTGCCTCCAGAAGTTGTGGGTGCTCCAACAGTGGAGGTTTTTAAGAAGAGATTAGACAACCATTTGTCTGAAATGGTATAGGATTTCCTGCTTGAGCAGAGAAATAGACTAGAAGATTTTCACAGTCCCTTCAAATTCTGTTATTCTGTTATCCAGTAGCTAAAATATTTTGAATTTCATTGGCATTTTGGGGGGCTCATGTAGAATAGGGTTAAGATTGGAAAAGAAATCAGTCTGCTTTCTGAAGGCCTCACATTTCCATTTCTAACCAGATTTACCAGACCAGAATCCCTAAAATCAAGCCAGAGAAATCAAGTACTGAATTTAAGCAGGGCTCACAGTTTCTCTCAGTCAAGGGATCAAAAGTGTTGCGTGAGCTGTTAATCCTAATTTAATGTGACATAGCCTGTGACTAAGAGAAATGCACACTGAAGGAAAAATGAATTTGGGAGGAAAGAATGGAGAAAGATGAGAAGCGCTTCCATTCTTGGGTTTTGCTTTATAGATTCTCCTTTCTCATAGAAACATGGAATATGTGCCCTAGAAGGGATCATATAGGTTAGCATAGTCCAGCCTCCTGCTTGGTGCAGAAAGCTGTTAATTCTAGTAGGTGCCCATCCAGCACCCATCTGAAAATCTTCAGCAATGGGATCCTGCCACCTTTTAAGGCAGACTTTCATTATTTAACACCACTGGGAAATTATTCTCAGCTCTCAGCTTGAACCTTTTAACCTTAACCTTTAATTTTAGCCTGTTGATCCTTGTCTTGCTTTCAGTTTCAATAGCCCTTGCCAAGGACTAGTTGTTTGGGAAATTTTTT